GGGGGAAGTACCGACACCGGCGGGGGCAGACCTTCGAAATGCAAGCACGGGTCAGAGCTTACCGTCCCACCCCGGTCTGGGCCCTGCGTGGTTATCTAACCTTGCAGACCCTGTGGCTGTTTGACAGAGCAGGGAATGAGCTCTGAGAGTCACTGCATGGGGGTCACCGCACTTCCAAGGGATAGAACGGGGACTCAGGTTCAGAGATCCTGGACCTTGGCCAGACCGTCTGGCCGACCTCTCCTCGGGCAGGTGACGTGACGCCCTAGAAGTGGGCAGACGAGGGCACTGTGGGAGCCCTGCCCCAGGCCTGGCCCCCAGGTCTGGGAAGCAGAAGCCCATCTGTGCCGGCTTCTTGCTCGCTGCACACCCTGACCTCGATTGGAGAGGCCAAGAGCATGTCCGGGGCCATGCAGCAACTAGAGAAGCCCCGCATTCCAAATAAGGCCCTCTGACCTCTCTGCCTCTTCCTCAAGTGCATCTGGATTTTCATGAGCCCTCCCCTTCCAGAAAGCCCTCCAGTCTCCTCCAGCTCACTCAGACCCCGGCTTCCGAACTCCCACCAGCCCTGCCAGGAAGTCAGACCACAGGCCTTCCCCTAACTCACTCCCCTCTCCTGGCCAACAGGGAAGCCCTCAGGGTGGCAGGTCCCCTCCCGCCTATCCCCCTGTAGCGTGGACAGCACAGGCCGCAGAGGCACGAGGCTGGGTGAGGACCAGGTGTCAGGTGGAGACGCAGCAGCAGCCAGGATGGACAGGGGTCGGCTGACACCCCAGTTTCACCCACCCACGAGGCTTCCAATCAACCCTGCAGAGGGCCGGGAAGCTGAGGGCTGCAAAGCCGAGGGGCACCCAGCAGCCCCTCTTCTGCTTGCTCCTGCACTCGGGCCCAGACCACGGAAGGTGCAGGGGTGGGGGGTAGGCGGAGGGAAGCTGCGGTCGCGGGTGTACAGGCAGTGTGTGATGAGAAGCTGCTCACATCATTCAAAACCAGGAAGAGAAACCCAGCAGCCGGAGGGCAGGCTGGGCTGTGTGGGGCCCTCCAGTCCCCGGGGGGGCGGGAAGGGGAGCTCCCCGGTAGCTGCTGGACACTTCTCCCTTCCAGGCCTCAGTTTCCCCGCCTGGTCCAGCCAGTCTGCCTGTGGTGGGCGCAGCCTGCAGCCTACAGGCACCGCGCCTGCAGCACGCCTGACTGAGCAGCCCGGCTGGGGAGCACTCCGAGTCCGGCAGCCCTCCCGGCTCACCGCGCCCTCGGCCACGCAAGGCGCACACCAGTTCTTCCTCCACCAGCTCTTTATTTTTAGTCTGAATTTGACTTTAATCATTACTTAGCGGATTCTATTTCCAGCGCTTGGATGTAGGGACCCAGGGGGGTGGAGGGAGGCAAGCAATGCTCCCAGTCGGGCGTGGGGGCAGCTCCTCCACCCATCCTGTCCCCCACCACGGGCGGGGGGAACCGAGAAACACCCAAAGAGCTCGCCCTGGCCAGTCCCGCATCTTGGGGAGAACCCCACCCTGTGACCTCATCGCAGCCGAAGCTGTGGGGCAGGACAGCTGGGATGCGCACGGTCCTCCGCGCCATGACCAGGCAGAGGAGGTCTGGCAGCCTGAGAGGCCTCGGTGGGAATCGGCCGCCTGGAGGGGACCCCTGCCAGGTCACCTGGGGCTGGTCCATGCCTGCCCTGGGGAGGCCCGGGAGGCACTCCCAGCTACTGTGGTCTGCAGAGAGGCAGAATGAGAGGAAGCCAGGTGGTCACAGTGGCACACTTGGGCCAGACTCAGAGACACCGGCCCAGGAGGAGGGTGCCGGGGAACATTTTGTGGACCTCCCTGCTCCCTTCCGACCCCCAGCTGGGAGGCTTCAGAATCCCCCCCTCCCAAGGAGTGGACAGTGGACAGTGAGGCTGGCACGCTGTCCCTAGGTTGGGGCTCAGGGTGCCCAGGGCGAGGCTAAGTAGGCCTGCAGCTCCACTGGGAAATGCTGGGCTGGGCCAGCCTGGCTGACACTGGGAGGCGGGTGGCAGCCGGGCTCTCAGAGAAGAGGCCTTGTCCACTCAGTTCTGATGCTGGGAGACCAAGAGACCGGAAGGGGAATGGGTGGGGCCAGCCCCAGACACCAACCAGCAGCCCATCTTCCCAGGGCCGGCCCCATGCCCTAAGCCAGCCAATCCTATGGCCATGGAGGAAGGGGGCGGGCAGGAGCAGGGCATTGGCCATAGTGGCCCAGAACCTCAGGGCCAGAGGGTTTCAGAGGGGCTCCCTGGGCAGCCACCTGAGCGGTCAGCCGGTGTCGGGGTCTTCCCCGCAGGCAGAGGGGCCTGTAGCGGGTGTTCCTCCCACAGCCCAGCCGTCACTCATAGAGGGAGGCAGAGGGGAATGTACCAGGCACCTGCCAGCTCCTTGGCCCCGTGGCCCGCACCGTCCTCGCTGTCCTGGGCAGCACACATCGCCACCCCTGTCACTGCTACAGAGGAATTCCGGCTCAGAGGGCCAGACCCTCGTCCGAGGTCTCTCCACCCTGGCCTAAGTGGCATGCCTGGGCCTAGAACCCACGGGGGTCGGGTGCAAGCTGCCCACTCTCTCCAACACCCCGGCTGCTTCAGGGGCCTGTAGTGACAACAGTCACAGCAGTGACAGGAAATGGCACACAGGCTCGGTCAGAGGGTACAGCAAACTCACAGCGACAGCTGTTTGGAACGTTCCGCGGCTGCAAAAGTGCCCACAGACCTCGTGTTAAATGAGAAGGGTGTCAGGGCACGCGCCCGACGGTAACAGCGACGGGAGAGAAACAGAGGACTGGCAGGGAGCTTCGAAATGCCAGCAGTGGCTGCCTGGCGAGGGAAGAGCGCCAGCAGTGGCTGCCTGGCGAGGGTAGAGCGGAGGGTTTGTGTTTTCTAAATCTGCCGCAGTGCTGTTGGGCGACTTTCTAAATCGAGACCCTGAGTACACTTAGTTTTCTAGTAATGAGCTCGGATTCGCGTCCCCGGGGTACTCAGGTGGCAGGGCCATTTCTGCCGTGGACAACCTTTCCCATTTGGGACAGCCCCTGAGACACGTGGAGATCCCTCTCCACCTTCTTCCAAGACGCGACACCTCTGTTGAGGGACTTTGGGGGCTACGTATCAGACTCAAAGTCCCTCGGACGGCGGGGCCTACAACTGGACTCAGGCCACCTGGGAGCTTCTGGGAGCAGCCACGTCTCAGTGAGAGTCCTGGGCCCCTGCACCAGCCTGCACCCGGAGAGGGAAGGTGAGCTCTGCCACTCGGGCAGCTGCTGTAGCCACTCCGTGAGGCCCCATGTCGGGCCTGGTGTCCTGCACGGTCCTGCAGCATGGAGGGAGGGGAATGTTTTCTGGTCTTGCCTCACCCACAACTTAACACAGCGAGCTAAGCAACCGCTTCTGCAAGGAAAGACAGCACCAAGCCCACCTGATGCAAAAACACACATGTGCCCTTGCACTCACGCTGGCCTCTCGCCAGACCTTTCTACGGATGCCTTTGGGGCCCTGGGTGTACCCTCCAGCTCCCAGTTAGTTAAAAATAAAGAAAGAAAAGAAAAGGAAAGAAAAAGTGGCCTTAGTGCAAAGGCGGTCAAAGCAGGGTGTGAGGCGACCTGAGGGAGTGTCGCAGGCCCAGGACACCTGGTCCCCCCACTGCACGTGTCAGGGTGGCCAAAAAGGGATCGAAGTCAAGGGCGGGGGCCCGAGCAGGACGAACCAGCCCACAGCTCCTCAGGGCAGCGTCCCCCGTCCAGGAACACCAGCCTCATCCTGCGGCCTCTGTCCTGCTCCTGCTAGGCCCACACCAGGAGGGATGCAGGGACCCCGGTCACAGGGAGATGACATTGGGCCCTGGGCTGTCCTCACTCCCACGGTGCTCCAGGGGCTGCCAGCAGACAGAGCTCCCTCCGTGCCCACTCTGGTCCCACTGTGCTCTCAACGTCGGGACTCCTGCACCAGCTGGGCAAAGGTCTGGATGACCACCAGGCTGTTTCACCTCAGTGCCAGGACCAGACCCCCTCGCCGCGCCTCACAGGTGGCCCCACACTCGCCCAGCCTGTGGGACCCAGCCTCTGTGCCGAGAGGACATGACAGGCAGAGCAGGGGCCGGAAGCCTTCTCCCTCCTCCCCAGTCCTCTGCAGGGGAGCACGTGCTCACCCACAAGTCCCTCCTGGGCCAGGCTGGGACCCTGGGAGTGAAGGTGCTGCCTGGCTCCCCCAGCCGTAGCATCCTAGTTCTGCAGAGCTGAGCATGGACACCCAGAGGCCTGGCCTGGCGACTTCCTCCTCTGAGCCTCAGGTCCCTGGTCTACAGAATGGGGGGGAAGTGAACTCCTAGTTAAGCTCCAAAGATCTGGAGACCGGGCACACCCCTTCCTGACACCTGGACTGGGCCCTGGGAGCCTGGGAGAAAGGGCTGCCAGGGTGCCAGGAGGTGAGGGCATGGTGCGAATGCCGCGTCACCTACCCCCTGGACCAAGGCCTGCCTGCTTCCCCCACTCAAGGGTCAGAGGTCCCTTGGCTGAGTCCTGGTCTTCTGGGAGGCAGAGGGTGACAGGCTCAGCCCAGGGCTCACGTCAGCAGAGCCTCAGCAGGGGCACTAGGGAGGGGTCAGGCCAGGCACCAGCTGGGAGGCCCTGGGTGGAACGACCGATCTCCCCAACACACACCTCGTGCAATCCCCATTCTCAAGGGCCCTGGCCCACACTGGGCCTCTTGCTCCAAGTTCCAGTCACCCCGCGCTCTGAGCCGCATTACGGGGACCGGAGTACGAGGGACAAACCCACGGGGCTGCAGGGCGGCACCTCTCTGGCGCCCTTTCCCAATCGGCTCTGACAGTGACTCCCGGGAGAATTCGAACCCGTGCAGGAGGGGTAAAGGCGTGGGGGATGGGAGCGGACGCAACGGCGGGGGCCAGCAGAGACCGGGCATGCGACCCCCACCCTCCTCCCTCCAGAGGACGCACGGACGCCCCCTTCCTCCCGGGCTGCCAGGCACTCACCTCTCTCGGGGCGCTGCGGTCCGGGCCAGCTCGCCGCGGGTGGCATCAGCGGCCTGCGGGACGGTCCATGCGGCCAGGGGGAGGGGCGGGGCGCAGGGGTCCCCGGGGGTGCGGTACCGGAGGTAGGGGTGCGAGAAGAGGGGAGGAGGGACGGCCAGACAGAGGCAGGGGGACGGCCGCGCGGCCGGGTCCGGGAGGGAAGAAAGGCGGGGGCAGGGGGGCGGAGGGAGCCGGGAGG